GTGCCAGCTCCAGACCGTCCCCTGAGCCACGTCCAGCCCGGGAGCTCTCTGCCTCACCCGAGGAGAGGCCACCGCTGCGAAGCCGCCCGCCAGGGGACAGCCCCGGGCCCAGCCCAAACCCCACGCACCCCCTTCTCCCCAGCGCACAGCGGCTGCGTGAGGGGCCCCGACGGCTGGCCCCTCGGACGCGGGGTCCCCGTGTCCGGGCCCCTGCACTTGGGCAGCCACACCGGGGCTGTCCTGTCTCCGAGCTCTCAGAGGCTCACTGGCCTCCCTCGCCCCCTCCTGGTGGCGTCCAGCAGAGGGGCCCCGAGTGCGCGTCCTCACTGCCTCAGGCTCCTTCACCTGTGGGTGCCGCGGGTGCACGGGTGCCCAGGCGCCGGGGGTCCCCATCTTCCAGGGCCTGGCTTCTCCTGCTGGAAGTGGCCTGCTGCGGGGTCAGTCAGTCAGCAGGTGTTAGCTGTTTTGCTGACATGGCACAGACACTGGAAGTGGTCAGCTAGCAACGTGCGATTCGGTAGATCCTGACCAGTTTCTCCAGGTCTTACACTTTTCCGAATCTTCATTTTCGGAGCTCCCCCCTCCGGCCAGGCCAAGGAGCCCGCCTGCCGCCCGCTTCCTGCGTGCCCACGCTGACCGCTGACCCTTCCACTGGGTGGTGTGGGCCCAGTGCAGGGGTGGCCTGCCTCACCCCTGTGAGCGCTCCCTGGGCGAGCGCGTCTTCTTCTCCCGGTTTGGCATTTATACACTTTCTTTCTTTTTAAAATAGCCACCCTGGAAATTTTATTTTCACATACGAAGAAACTGTCACACAGCGTCCACCCTTTCCCCAAGTAAAAGGCCCGCCTGCCCCCGCCTCTGTGGCCAGGCCCTGTGTGGCCTCCGGCCTGGGCGCCGCGCAGGTCACGCTGCCGGATGCTGTCCCTGTTCCCAGGTGCTGTGCTTCAGAGCTGCCCAGGCTGGGGGGCGTCCTTCCCAGGCACGGCACCGGCGCAGGCCTTGGGCAGGACTCTGGGTTCTGGCTGGACACGCCAGCCCGCCCCCACGCCTGTCCTGCCCCCTCAATGTGGGCGTGCCCCCTGGCTTGCCCTTCCGCTTTGGGGCCCTGGCGTGGCCACTGGCCTTCACACTGGGTGGG